TTATGAAATTGGTCTTAAATTTAATTTCAGTTGGCATTAAAAAGTCTTAAATTTAACTTGCTTTAAACTGTAGGAACCCTGCTTTAGAAACAGTGTATTTGAAGGTTTTTGCAGCTCTTACTATGAACCCATGAAGGATAGTGGTCAAATTTTCCACTACAGTATTAGACACCTCTTCAGTAAGTCGAGAGTCCTTTTGWTGTTGCAGATAAATTTAAWATAAACAGACTTTTACCCTGGATTCTAGTAGGCTTTAACTAGTTGTTATGGTTTAGGCAACAAACACTCTGAGTTATTCTGTAATTATTCAATTTTTCGTTGAATATTTGACTGTTCCCATGGTCCCATAGACCTACCACCGTATTCATGCAGGGCTAAGTATTAAAAGTAAGTTTCAGCACAGCGATAATTTAAGCTGCTGCTAAATGGTTTAGTCTTTTCCAATGAATCAGTCTTGGGGTGATGCAGGCACTCTGGCTGAGCAATCCTTTCAAAATAAACTATGATGGAAGGAACACTRGAGACTTAAAATAATTAGATTTTTCAGTTTTAAGATGTAAGGACAAACAGCTCTGTTTTGTTAGTGCCAGCCGTTACAGTCTTCAGTTTTCAACACCAATTTTTTTTTTTTTAATTCAGACGAGTTTGTGGCCCAGTTCAAGTTCACCGTGCTGCTCATGGCTAACGGACCTCTGCGGATCACCAGCTCTCTCTTTGAGCCTGAACTCTACAAATCTGAGCATGAAGTGGAGGATCCTGAGCTAAAAGTAAGACAGGACTGATGGAGGTGGCACTGGGCTGAAAGGTTTAATTTTATATTATATTATTATTGTTTTTGTTTTGTTTTTTACCTTGGTCTACTTTGTGTCCATAAAGGCTTTGATTCAGAGCTCAGCCAGCCGGAGGACTCAGAAGAAGAAGAAAAAGAAGGTGATTTTCAGAGTAATTTTTTTTTTTTCAACACAGGAATGTGTTTTGTTTGCTCAAACCTTGTTTTCTTCGCTTTCTGCTAGGCCTCAAAGACTGTTGAGAGTGCAACAGAACAGGCGATGGAGACCGAAGCTGCAGAATAAAATCTGAATAAATGGCGACAGAAATCTGAAGACCCAAAGAACAGACGGCACGATTAGCTCCTGTCCCAGCCAGCTAAGGCACTCGAGGACACAGCCGCTGTGAACACCTCTGAATCTAACTGATGTCAGCCTGGGATGATGCTGCTCCTGCATCCTGAAACACACACACACACTTCTCTAACTGCAGACAACCCAACTCTGACCACTCACACACAAACATACATTTAGTAAGCTTTTTGCTGCAGTTCTACCATGGAAGAGATGTTTTGTGCATATCCTCATGAGATCACCATTCCTCTTTGATTTATTCTCCTCGGTTAGTGTGGTGAACAAAGTGGGAAATGAAAGGAGTTTGAGCAGCTGAGGATGAGGAATGCACAGTGCTGTGTCGTGGCTTTTGAAGAAATTCCTGTCAGTCACCCTAAATCCATGCCTTTGAAAGCAGTGTGAACTTTTTGTGGACACATCTGTCACCGTGACGTCATGATTCAGTGCTCTTAAATGAAATTTCATCGCAGCGTTTATACTTCCAACTCTTAGGCCTGGGCTTTAGTTGATGCTTCCAGGAKTCCACAGTAGGTTATTTGGATCACTTCTAAAACTGACATATGAATACCTTTTTAATTTCTTTTCTTCTGTGGTGGAAGGTCTGTCCTTCCTGCCAAGGGTTGAACATTCAGTCCTTTGGTGCCACTACTGAGTCTGACAGTCTGTTTTTACATATGAAGTCTGTACTGGTTAGATAGATTGATGGATGCTTTTGTAATACAAATCCCAGTTACAGCGACTATTTTTGGGAACAATAAATAACCATCTGGCATCATTTGTGTACTTGTTTTGTTTRTTTTTTAAACAATGAAGGAAATTTATTGTGATTTTCTTCATTAGTGAAAGGCTGAAAGTGTAATACTAGATGTATGGAAATATTTGACTTCTTTTTAGAAATTCTGATAAAGGATATGCTCTCTCAAGAGCTAAAACATTGGGGGGGGGGGGGGCACCAGCCCACCCCATTTTTGTTTATAAAGTAGCATTAGTCTTTAGAATAGTCAGCTAAAAAAAAGCCCTGATGTATAACTAAGAGTGCTGTGTGGAAAAAGGAAATTACAATTTCCCTGAGGGAAAATCCCTAAGGAATTAAAGTGAATCTAAAAAAAAGCCCACATTATAGATCAAATGATTAAAAAAATCATGTTCCAAGAAGGAGTAAATATTAAACTAAAGCTGACAGTTAAGCTGGTAGGCCTGGAAAATATTAAAGTACCTTGAAATCAATTTAAAAAATGATATTTTCCCTGTAGTGTTAAAAAAATCTATTTCCCAAGATTCATTAACCGTCCACCACATTTGACGTAAACACTGCTTACTCAGTGTCGCTGGAATATGACGTTTCAGGTCGCGCGGATTTGGTAGCTTTTGGTAAGTACATTTAAGCGTTTTCAGAATCCATGTTAATCAGCTTCATTTTATGATCAAGAAAACTAATCCTTGGCATTTTTGTTTGCTTTTCAGCCCTCCCTCCTGAAAATGCGAGCTAAGGTTGGTGTTTTAATTTTCTGCAGTAAGATAAAGGGACTTTTTTTATTTACTTGTGCTAACGTATGTTAGCTTAGCTAGCTAGCCAGTTTGAGATTGTGTGTGTGTTTGCAGCCATTTGGCAATAATCCTGCAAGTGTCTACGATTCATTAGTCTTTGTTGTTGGTTTTTGGATGTGCTCTTAATTCTATTTTTATGCATTTATTTTGTTAATAGTGGAGAAAGAAGCGCATGCGCAGGTGAGATTTTCGTGATGCACGTTTTCTCATTCGGTGGTTGCGTTGAGTTCAGTAACGTGAATGTTGTGATTGTTGTTCGTGATTCTGTGCGCAGGCTGAAGCGCAAAAGGAGAAAGATGAGGCAGAGGTCCAAGTGAGGCGTCCCGGTTCCAGCTGTGTTAGCAGCCAGCCAAGCAGCCCGCTGAGGACAGCTGGACCTCCTGAACCCCTGTGAAGCCTGAGGGCGGATTGAAGCTGGTCAGGAGGCCTCTCAACTCCTGCTGGATGTCTGCTTCTTCTCTGGGACATTCTGAACCTGTTCCTCTCAGTTCCTCAACTTTTTGTCATTTAGTTTTTTTGTTTATACTGGGATTAAAAGTTTTGGTTTATAAAGTCCTCATGGCATTATTTTTGTCACTTTTGTTAAAGGATTTAATCTGAGTGCGGTTTGCACTAAAAGACTGTTCTGTCTATAAACCTGTCTTAAAAATAATAATAAAAAAGATTGAAACAAAATACAAACGGTTTCAATGCAAATTATAGAAAAATACAAAACTGGTTAAAACATGTTAGGGTGACAATTAATGCACCTTAAAGAAATAGGAAAAAAATCAGACACGAGTATGTAGTTTTGATCATTTTTCCCTTTGCAAAGATGAGAGATTTTAGATCTCAGAAAAGCTCTGACGTCGCTCGGGGAACAGAAAAGATACATTTTGTCTAATCACAGGGCTATTTCTTATCAGTAGTGCCAGCAAGGCTGCAGAAGTTATGGCAGCTTGGGCCTGTTCTCAGCTGAGAACAGACGAAGCTTCATTCATTCCAGACTGATCAAGCATTTAAAGACCTGATTAATGCAATAGAATCAAACACAAAATGATAAAAATATCTAACAAGACATTTTGCATAATTAAGGTGAAAAAAAAACCTACATGGCTGCAAAAAATGCTACAAATAGAAAACATTACCCTCACATTCAAATCAGAACATATTAATTGGTATTGAACACAATATAAGGTATGTTGATAGAGGTTTAGCTGAAAATGACTTCATTTGAGCTGCTGATGGTGCCAATTTAAACTCAGTTTAACCTGCAAAGCAGCCTGAAGTATGAACACCATGGAGCTTTTCTGGGGCGGATATTAAAGTGTATTATAAATAAACTTCAGTACATAAATCAGCATGTACAACATGGTGAGACCACACCACTTCCTGAGGACGTTTCCATGAGGAAGCATACAATTAAACAATGTTGGACTCAAAATAGAACTTTGGGGAGCACTAAATCACTTTAGGCCATCTTGATCCAGTCAAAATAAGGCAGTTGTGTTCATTTAATAGGTAAAAATAATATGATATAATGTAAGAGATACAAAACTAATTTTGCTAGACTGTCAAGTAATTGCAAATGCCTTATTTAGCCCTGACTGGCTTCAAAAACAATAGGGGGTAAGATGAGCCATTTTTCATATTTAGGATCACTGCATCAAGGCAATCATGGTTTTGTTGCCAATATATCTGCATATATTTCAGGATGTTGTGCATCCATTCAAACAAACAGAATGAGTGTAAACATAACTTTCAATAGTATAGCATGTCTAAAAAAGTGTTCTTGTGGCCCAACTTACCCCCTGAATGGGGTAAGATGAGCCGTGTGCCTACTTCCCCATCACCCCACCCCTCTCTTACCTTCTCCCTCCCTAAATAACAGTGCTTTTACGCAATATTCTGTGTATATTCTGTGTTCATTGAAGGCAGTGGCCCTTGCCAAGGACGTGGTCTCTGGTGTCCGGCATGATAGATGATGTTGGTTTTTGAAAAACTCAAGCCAATCCACTCCTGGAAAAAAGATTTCAATGAAGCCAATAATATTTTTCTACTAACATAGTTACCAATTGAGTTTGCTTGAATTTTCTTAGCTAGTGGGCTGGTTGGCAGTAATTGTGGGGGTRAACCTCACATATTTAGATAGATCTCTATGTGAAATTTCTCTTACGCTGCTTGTTCTTCTCTTGAGTTGTCTGGTACAGGGATGTTGTGTCGCTTTGCAAACTCGTAGGCAAGTTCTCTGCATTTGAGGGTAGTAAGCCCATGAAACTGGTCTGCGAGATTCTTAAAATGTTTGGCAAGTTCAGACTCCATGCCATCTGAGAGAATCCTTCTAGCCTCTGCTACTCCATCATAGTCTATTTTTCAAAGGTACATTTTCTTTTTTGTCAATGTACCTCTTCAGTGTCATTCTGTCTATTTTGGCATCCTTAGCTGCTGCTCGAATAGACTTCCCTTCTCTCACTTCACTGGTGGCTCTTTCAACATCCGTGGTGGCTCCCCTAATTGTTTTGCACTTATATACACGAGGCATGATGTCCACTCTGTAATCATACAAATGCAGAATCTTGATTTAATATTTAAGACATATACAGCGGGTAAAATAAGTATTGAACACGTCACCATTTTTCTCAGTAAATTTATTACTAGAGGTGCTAATGACATGAAATTTTCACCAGATGTTGGTAACAACCCAAGTGATCCATACATACAAAGAAATCAAACCATAAATGTCCAGAAATGAAGTTATTTGTAATAATGTGGAATGGCACAGGGAAAAAGTATTGAACACATGAAGAAAGGGAGGTGTAAAAAGGCATGGAAAGACAAGACACCAGCTGAACTCTCTCAGTAATTAGAAARCAAGCCTGCCCCTTGTCAGTGCAAGTTAATATCAGCTGGTTGAGACCCAAATGATGGCCAGGTATCACACAAGAACCATCTGATGATGGGTAAAAGTAAAGAGCTCTCTCAAGACCTTCACAACCTTATTGTTGCAAAGCATAACGATGGCATCGGTTACAGAAGAATGTCTAAACTTCTGAAGGTTCCAGTGAGCACTGTTGGGGCCATAATTCAGGAGTGGAAATGACATCATTTCACCATCAACCGACCACGACCAGGTGCTCCTCACAAGATTTCTGACAGAAGAGTGAAAAGAATTATCAGAAGAGTTGTCCAAGAGCCAAGGACCACTTGTGGAGAGCTTCAGAAAGACCTGGAATTAGCAGGTACGWTTGTTTCAAAGAAAACAATAAGTAATGCACTGAACCACCATGGCCTGTATGCACGCTCACCATGCAAGACTCCACTGCTGAAGAAACAGCATGTTGAAGCTCCTTTAAAGTTTGCTGCACAACATTTAGACAAGCCTGTGTAATACTGGGAGAATATAGTCTGGTCAGATGAGACCAACAATGAACTGTTTGGATGCCAGAATACACATCATGTTTGGAGGTCAAATGGCACTGCACATCAGCCCAAAAACACCATACCTACAGTGAAGTTTGGAGGTGGGAACATCATGGTGTGGGGCTGTTTTTCAGCATATGGTACTGGCAAACTTCAAATAATTGAAGGAAGGATGAATGGAAATATGTACAGAGACATTCTTGATAAAAATCTGCTTCCATCTACCAGGATGATGAAGATGAAACGTGGCTGGACATTTCAGCAAGACAATGAGCCCAAACACAAAGCCAAGGAAACTCTCAGTTGGTTTCAGAGAAAGAAACTAAAGCTGCTGGAATGGCCCAGCCAATCACCTGACCTGAATCCAACAGAAAATCTATGGAAAGAACTAAAGATCAGAGTTCATAGAAGAGGTCCACAAAACCTTCAAGATTTGAAGACTGTTTGTGTGGAAGAATGGGCCAAAATCACACCTGAGCAATGCATGCCACTAGTTTCTCCATACAGGAGGCGTCTTGAAGCTGTCATTGACAACAAAGCCTTTTGTACAAAGTATTACATAAATTTCAGTAAGTGTGTTCAATACTTTTTCCCTGTGCCATTCCACATTATTACAAATAACTTCATTTCTGGACATTTATGGTTTGATTTCTTTGTATGTATGGATCACTTGGGTTGTTACAGACATCTGGTGAAAATTTCATGTCATTAGCACCTCTAGTAATATATTTACTGAGAAAAATGGTGACGTGTTCAATACTTATTTTACCCGCTGTAGGCTACAGCCAAAATACACAAGTGTATGGGATAAGTTGAGCCGGTGGCTCAATTTTCCCCAGAGCTATCATTTTGACATTATTAGTCCCCACAGCTAATATTGTGCACTTTTATGTTAGGTTTAAGATCTTGTGTTGTAGCTCATAGAGACCACAATTGATGTATAAAACAAATTTAAAATGATTTATTTTGGTCTAAACACAATTCTCATGAAACTTACAGACTAAATTCACTTTCAAGAGTGAAAAATGTTTTTTCGGAAATAAATGTCTAACCACTTTACCCATGTGGTTCTTACCTTCACAGACCCCATGAAATGACACCCTCCTAAATATTTGGTCACATGATCAATTTTATTTACCGTTTCCTTGCAACAAGGGGTGTCTCAACTTACCCCAGTCTCCCTTATTCTGAAATAAAAAAAAATGCCTTGAACTTAGATTCTGTCCTTCTGGAGTCTTTTGCAGTAATCTCTGCAGGACTCGAGACAATTTTACAGATGTACTTTAGTCTTTGTCCTTGTGTGTTGTCAAATATTTCATCCTGTCTTTTGCAACATAAATTGTAAGTAGCTCAGTGTCCTTGCAGTCACCGTTTTTTATGAGATTATTTTCCAGAATGCACAGTTGTGAAGTATTAGGTATCAGTGTCACCTTGCAGGAGAGAGAGAGAGAGAGAGAGAGAGAGAGAGAGAGAGAGAGAGAGAGAGAGAGAGAGAGCTTTATTAGGTTGATTAGTAACTGAGGGAAGCTCAGGCGTGAGCGGTGACCTTTGACATGTCAGGAAAAGTGTCTGTTCTGCTTCCTTTGACTTAACATACTGAATTTCACATTTTATATATGTGAAAGTTTTTAACAAGRACAAGTTTTTTTTAAAAGAAGCTTTTAAAAATGCACACTGAAACTTTGAAAACTTTGAGAATATCATACAAAAGTTTTGCTTTTTTTTCCCAATAATCGATGCACTGCTGCATATTTGTAAGCAACAATGCTAATTTTCTAAAAACACCAAACTCTAATAAAAAAGGACGTCTCTTCAAATCAGGCTTTCCCACAAACGGAAGCAATCGTTTGTGGTGTCGAGTGTAAAGCAATGTTTTTAAATTCTTCCAAAGCAAAGTTCCTTTTTTTCTTCTTCTGAGGAACATGAGGCTCAGCTCAGTCATGATGACTCTGACCTTTCTTGCATCAGAGCCTTCATCATTTCAACATCCCTGACCCATCATCACATGACCACTTCTGCTTCCGAGGGAAAAGAGCTGATTCCAGACCACAGATCTGAAAATCATGTGGACGGTCATCGAGAAACATTTATGGCTTCTGGGGCCAATCAGGAGCCATCGCTTGTACTGCTTTTGTTGACTGAGCTGCAGATACTAAAAAAAAACAAAAAAAACAATTGCTTGGGAGAAAATAGAAAAGATTTTCTAAATACCAAAGCAGAAGTGGTTTGACAAACAAATGCAACACATGCTCAGTCTAGCAATACAATCCAGTTTTATGCACATAATRAACATTATCATAATCAAAATCTAACCAGCGTCACTATTTGTAAAAAGTTCTTCAACAATAATTGCACATTTCAAACATCATTTTTTWAATGTTACATGAAGACTTGCTTATTGCTGACTGAGTTCATCTGTGTACACAAAGGATCATCAAAATTTTCTCCCTCAGAGCAAATAAACAGATAACTGCCAGGGTTTTTCCAGGCAACAAAGAGGTAATTTTAGACCCTGCTCAGTTTAAAGTTGCTAAGAAGAGGCGTGGAAGAACAGATGTTGTAGTATTTTGTCTGCTTTTCTTGGTTGTGCAAACAGGACGGATGATTTTTGACCCACATCACAGAGAGTGGTGCGTTTGCTGCTGGGATATATTGGCAGCTGTTTTATCTGTGGCCTGAAAAGCAGTAGATTAAAATACATTTTCTCTGCTTTCAGTGGATTTGAGCCGTGTGTTAAAATACCAGGTTTTTGTGATGCAAAAGAAAAACAAAAAGAAAAGAAAAAGAGACAATCCATGCTCAATTATTCCATTTTTTCCAGCTTTAATGTGACAAATTATGTTCTGTACAAGTGAACTGAACTGACTTAATTTATTTATTTATTTATTTATTTATT